CGCAGTTTTCAACTATAAGTACCTTATAATAGAAGTTATAGGTCTCATCAGGAACCTCAATGTCCTACACTTACATCTTAAGCCAATCAGCAATATATATGATTATATGATATGATATAGTCATGAATAGAGCACCGACATGATATGGTCATCATTGATTTAGTAAAATCTATATAGATGATGAAAGTAAAGCATGAAGCAATCAGTATCCGATCACAATATTATATGGCACTGTCTAACGATCATAATTAAGACGCAAAGATAAGTCAATATCGTTGCCCCCACAATGTTGTTATCAGAAATATAAAAAATGGATTAATTGATTTGAATTATTGGTTTGGAAAACCCTTTACCTCAAAACCAAAATTATTGGTTGGTGCTTCTTTGTTTTTCCTTTTTCTCTTTGATAGGTGCTAATGACCCACCTCGCACACAGGGGCGGACGTAGGTAGAGGAGAGGTGGGGCACGTGCCCCATACTCATTTCTCAATTTTTTTTTTTTTTTGTTTCATTTGCTCAACTAATATATGTATTAAAGCTAATAAATTTTTTCAAATTTATTAGGTTATGTCTCATGTACAAATAATTTCTGAAAATTTATCAAATTCATTAAGGTTGTGTCTAAGTTTGTGCTTTTGGGTTTTGGATCGGATATGGATAATTTGGATAGGAGAGTTTATTATCCGTTGAGGTTTTATGACTATGCGGTTCGGATATATGTTGGACTCGGATCGGTCGAAAAAAAAGAAAAAAAGCTAATAATTGTTCAATTATAATAAAAATTGGTTCAATTTTAATAAAATTTGGTTAAACAATTGTACAATTGTGATAAATATAACTAATGATTTTTGGATATCTAGGTTATTTAGATATTTCTTTTTAATTTGGTATTTTTTGTTATAAAATTATAACTAAATGTAACTAATATTTTTAGATATATAATTTTATTTCGGGTTTTAGGGTATAATATTTAATTTTTTGTTTGGTTTGGATAATTCCGTTCAAAACATTTAGAATCTGTTAGAAATTTTATGAATATTCGATTCGATTTTGAAGTCGAATTTTTCCGATCGGTTTTCGAATTTTAATTTTTTATGCTACAACGTAATTGTGCCCCAGGTAAAAACAGCTTCTGGATCCGCCACTGCTCGCACATATCCAAACTATTTACTAATAAAGATCTCTAGACTAGAAAATAGATGCATTAACATTTTTAGATAGGTGTTTAGGCGTTCGAAAACATGACTAGTTTGGTTTTTTATACAATCTTGTCATGATTTGGTT